AGGACTTTTTTAAAACGCGGCGGGAAACGGGAAAAATTGTTATAAAGCGTGATTGTCACGCTGAAATCGGGACGTCTGGTCACCTTACTCTTCTCCGATGTTCAATTAAGTTTTAAAAAGCTTTCTCTCTAGCAAACAGCTGGAAAGAGCACACCACATCTGCAGGCCTGATAGACATGCGGACTTCTTGGGAAGACCTGTGAGATTGCAAGTCACTTCCATAGTATACAAATGCTCCCTTCATTTTTTCAGTCTAGTAGGTTATTTTCTCAGGGAATTGTAGAGTTACGCCATTTAGGCCTCAAGTTCACTCTTACCAACCAGTTCAGTGTTGGATTCTCCATTAAAGATTCTTGACAAATGTCTACCTTGGGAAGGAGAGGTCACTCCTTTCTTACAGAATTGACTGCACTGTCATGTTGGACATGAGACATGAGTAATATATTTCCAAATTCTTCTAATCCAAGTGAAAGCTAAAGGTCTCACCACTTTTTCTATTTTTGTCTATTCAACCAGGTGTGTTTATTACTCATGGTGATGTAGGAGTTGGAACCATTGTTGGTTCTGCCGTTTTCAATATCCTCTGCATTATTGGTGTCTGTGGAATCTTTGCTGGGCAGGTTAGTAGAGTATATTCATTAATTCATTCATTTTTCCATTATATAGGGGAAGACAGTATATAGAAAAGAAAGTACTTGAATATGATTATTTTACTTACAAACATCGTATGTTCTATATATATATGATATTGTGAACATCCATTGATTCTACTTCAGGCTTAGTTTTTATGCAAATGAATCAACTTGAAATAGGTTTATAATATATGCAGATAAATCATGACATGTGTTAATATAAATATTATTCTGAGAAAATTCTATTTTCCTTCCTCGAATACAGTGCAGCCAAACATTGTGGTTGGCTGGAACCCACATTAAAGGGATCACTTCTTTGCACAGTTCCACTTTTTTAAGTGTTGTACATTAAACAAACTTAAAGCTGAAGAATAGTAACCTCAATGACTTATTAGAGAACTGTGGCAGTTGGGATTCTGTGTGTAGATGTGCACTTTATTGAACAACAGAAATGAAGGTAATAATGTTAACTGAATAATGATAAGAAAGCATATTTCTATAAAGGAAATCAGCTACAAAAAATTTATCAGATGAATCACTATGTTTTTAAAATTGACAATTATTTTACTATGCTTTAGAAAATATTATTCTTTTAAAATATGTATTTTAATGAGGTAAACTGTGGGAATCTTTACAGTTTACATTGGCGTTAGAGTACAGCAAATGAATAAAGAAAAATTCTTTCCTGTCTGTTGCAAAACAACTAAGGACTTTTTCCTATTCAACCATAGTTGTGATCATAATCTCCCATCCTCCCATGCCAAATGGCAATTGAAATGAGGAAGGAAAATGTTTTAAATATTTTCGGCAAGTGATTGTTCTGATCTTGAATGGCATTAATTGCCTAGCATCTTTGGGATACAAATTAAATGAATAACAATGGCTCTAACAAGTTTTTTTTATGTTTTTAAAATATCCATGCAAAAGGAAATGACCTATTTTAGCATCATGCGTGTAGGTTGGTCTTCTCTTTTCATAAATAAGAGAGTTAGAGTAACTTTTCTGACCAGGTGCTCTGTAGATGTGTTGGGTTTAAAACCTCAGAATTTCCAATCAGCATGAAATAATGCATGCGTCTTGGTTTTTTTTTAAAAAACAGGCAAAACTTTTTTCTCCTACCTAGCAAACAGCTGTTCAATTCATGAAGTCCAAATGAACTAGAATATTTCATTATAGTTTTGTGATTCTGAATCTTCTTGCCCTCCCTGAGAAGACTGGGAGTTCGGGGCGTTTCACCGACAAATGCGCGCTCGACAAAAGCGTGCCAATGAAACCGCGGCAAGAAAACCGCAAGGTCGAAATTGCGCTGACGAATGCGCGCAGAAGCACGCTGACAACAGCACACCAACAAAAGCGCGCCTTCAACAAACAACTAATAACAACCTAATAACCCTAACCCTTACCTTAACTTAAATCGCGCTTTTGTGGGTGCGGTTTTGTCGGCGCGTTGTTGTGGGCGCGTTTATGACATCGTAGTTCTCTCACCGCGGTTTCATCGGGCGCTATTGTCATGCGCGCAATTTTCGGGTCATGGTTCGGGGCCACTCTGCCTACTAACCTAAGTCATCATGGTCTAACCCAGGGCTGTCAAATTCAAAGCCTGGTGGGGGCCAGATCCAGTCCACATAGTGCTTAGATTTGGCCCTCGGAGCTGCCCTAGAAACAGCAAAGAACCGGCCTGCAGTAACTCTGCCAGAGAAAACAGAGCTGTATTTTGGTCACAACAGCCTCTTGCTACCCTCTGCCAGAGAAAACAGCTCAGGGAGGGAATGACACCCACCTCCCCGAGCTCCATTTTCCCTGGCAGAGGGCAGCAGGAGACCATCACAGCTGAAAACAGAGCTTGGGAGCCCGTTTTCGCTGGCAGAGAACTCAGGCCACCACAGACGTCCCCAACATGAGTGATGTCAAGCTGGCCACACCCACCCAGCCCCTGAGGTCAAACACAACCCTGATGCAGCCCCTAATGAAATCGAGTTTGACACCTCTGGCTAACCCATGTGGGAGGCCATACATCAGCTCTAGTTCTTGTCTTTGAGCAGACACAACATGATCTGATAGTTAATGTCTGGCTGTTGTTATGGTCAGATGACTGCTTGACTGCTTTTTGGGGTCATCAATTTTGAGGGAGAATGGAACTAGTAACTTGTCAGTTTCTGATAATTTCCAGAGAACTTTGGGGAATTTCCCGAGATCTTGGTGGGCAGTTTTCCTAAGGCCTTAGTTGCCAAGTGGAATACAGAGGTGATAGCAGCCTTAGATAGGAGTGTACCCAAGCAACATCCCCCAAATCATAGATTGCAGGGAATTTACCAAGGTACTATGGGAAATAACGTGACCAAAGAGAATAGAATAGAATCCCACTAACTTGAAATAATACCAAAAACAAGTGTGGTCAGGCATGCATAACAGCTGAGATCTGAGCATACGCTGTAGTGATAAGACTGACCAAAGGCCAATATTGTCTCCACTTTGACTGCATCCTCAGATTGTCATTTATCAACCCTCTTTAAAATGACCTGAATTATCCTTCTTATGGAAGGATGAAAGAACAACCGCAAAACAGGCTCAAATTTAATCCCAGAAAAGTAATTCTTTGGTTCGGGATAGGATTGTATTATCCCACGCAAAACTGGCTGGTAATCTGTGGGCCTTTCTGGACTCTCACTCTTTCTGAAGGAGCAGGTAGCAGCCTTGGCTGGAAAGGCTTTCACACAAACACACAGTTCCCAGATGAGCCTTTTCATCTGCCCTCCTCTTGAGATTAGACCAGTTTCTTCCTTTTTAATTCTGCATTCTGAAAACCCCAGTTTAAGATCTGGCTATTCCTAAAAGTTTGGGGTGGGAACTACAATAGGAAGGGAGTCCCTTTTCTTATCGTTTGCTTATTCCTTTCGGATACTGTTTACTGCACTGTAATCTGTTGCCTCGTCTTTTTCTGTTTGTTATTTTGATGTACTGTTTTTAATCCTCCTACTAGAGAGTGTTTTGTAAGCTTCTCTGAGTCTCCATGGATTACAGTGCCATATAAACCCTAGTAAATAAGTAAACAAGCATGCAAGTAAATAAATAAATAAAAATCCTTTGTTCTGTCCACCCGACCTTTATGAGCATTGTAGAGCTAAAGCAGACTCATGTTTAATCTCTAAATTAGGTTCCAAATATATTTTTTTTCTTCATGGAAAATGTAAATGTTTCCGGTAATAAACAACAGGACTAAACTAGTCAAAATTTTACTGCCCTTATTTGATAAAGAATTGTAGATAAATATTAATTCTAGTCTCAGTGGAGGCTGTCAAACTTTGTTCAAGTGTTTATTAAACAAAGAAATCATTTAAACAAAGTTTTGGTAACCATTTATTCATTTATTCGTAAATTTGAATTTGTTCTTTGTTCTGTTATTTACATTTCAATAGATTTATGTGCATTTTAATTGTGGTTGACTAGTACCCTATCTAGCCTTTGTTCTTTGTTATTTTTCAAAAAAATAATAAACAGATTGATTGAAATTATTCTTACCAGAGTTGATTAAAGGGCTTCACTTTAGCAGGATTGTGTCTGCTTCATTTATTACTCTACTTCCATATGAAAAATCACTACAATCATTGATTTTCTTAATTTTCTGTTTCTAAATGATGTGTAAAGTGGTTTACCTCATCGGTAGTACTTTTAGCTTTGTTCTTTCAGGAGATGGACTTTTAAATTGAAGACTTTAAGCAAAGTTGTTTCTGTCCTCTCATTGTAATCCCATTGAAAATTGAGTAACTGCTACTTAAGTAACAATTAAATGTACTCTTTAAGCAACATGCCACAGAATAGTTATGCAATTCGTTTGATTCACTGGAATGAAGATCTTGTTGGGAACTTTTCTTATATCCGTTTGGAGCAATTCTTTTCCTGTTTAAAAGGTCTAAATTTCCTGTTTTCTGTGCAACTGCATTCTTTTTGATGGGAAGAGGTTTTGAATGATCACTATTTTCTGATGTCTTTGGAGTATTGCTTGTTCTGTAAACATATTTTTCTCTGTTGGAGCTTTTAAGTAGATAATAATCCTAAAAGAATCTCTTCTGGAAGTTAAGATTTATTATATAAGCTTAGCTATTTTATTTGCTCCTTCACCCCAGTAATTATTTGGAAATGCATGTTATTCTAAACCATGATTAACTGTGGTTTATTGAGCATACTGTGTTCACACATTGTGTTAAGGAAAACCAGGCAAAAATCAGTGTAGCTTAGCAGAATGTGTAAATAGCCAAGAAAAATATTTATGATATAATATTCTTGTTCCTCTTGGGTTGGGATTAGGGGTTAGGGTTAGAGTGATTGATGAACAAAGAAAGGCTTTGTGTCACCTGAAAGTCAATTTTTTGTGTGTGATATTTTGGGAGAGTCTATAATCAGATGCTCGTGAGGTTATCTGAGTGTTAAGGTAGAAAAAATCCTGTTAATGGTAATTGTAATTAAATTGGTTGTTCATTGTTGGATGATAATACAGAGCACTAGCGTTTAATACCCATTCCCACACATAAGCATAAATGTCTCTATATATTCATAATTGAGAATGGCATGAACTTTCTCATTTATGTATATGGGCTACAAACCACAAATCCTACACTACAACAAATATCTCATTTGTTAAGATGCCACATTTTTTTTCCCAACAGAGACTGACACACTTATTTCTCAGTCAACGGCGTACTTACATTTTCGTTCTCTCTGGCTGATTGATTAAGTTATTTATTTGATTTGTAGGCTGGCTACACTGCATGATCTTGATAATGTAAAACTAGAAATTAAGATAGAACAAGATTGTGTAGAAAAATGCAGTTTCAGATATAAATGTTCTCCTTCCTTAAAGGGATAACTTTTAATTAATAGCAATGCTAACTGGTAAATGATAAGATTGTAGTGAGATGTGAATGCCTATATGAACCTAATTTCATCAGCACTGCTTGGTTTCATAATCTGTGACAAAATCTAAAATCCAAGCATTGGATTCCAAGCATCCTAGATAGAGTTTGTTATATGGAATAATTGTATACTTTTTCTAGGTAGTCCGTCTAACTTGGTGGTCTGTGTGCAGGGATTCTGCCTACTACACTCTGTCTGTAATAGTCCTTATTGTGGTAAGTTTTGTCAGTTTTCTTCACCATGTTCTTGAAAATAGCTGAGCTTGATATTTTGGTTCTCAATAGACCTCCTTAGGGAAGGATTCCTTAAAGACAAATATGGTGGATTTTCCCATTTAAAAAATCCCACCCAAAGGATCTTGGGAACCACCCAGAGTTGGTTAGAAGATGGGTGACTACATAAATGTTTAAAGTAAATAAATAGATATTGCACGTGTATGTTTCAGTCTCCCACAACCTGGTACCTCAGGTGAGAAGGCAACTTCCTAGAATGACCATGCTAGCTGAGAATTAAGAGATACATTCAAACACATAACCATCTTCTTATTGTTTACAGCTGCTCTTGGTTTTATGTTTTTAAATATTTTTGTTATTTTAATGTTGTAGCTGTCCATGATAATTTACTTGAGATGGATGCCTATGTATATCAATTAAATAAATAAATGCATCTGGCCATTAGTAGATGGAGCAAGGGCAGTGAATCTTCTGCATTCTTTCATGTGTTTATCAAGGACAACTTGAAGTTAACTCAACTTTCTGCATAGGCAAATTCCCATTCAATCCCAATGGTCCCATTTGGCAGTGATGACAAACAACCAGGAGCAATATTAGAAGATTGTTTCCAATTCCTAAACTGCAATATGATCCTGTGTTAGGAGATTATTAGGAAATTTAAATGACTGCTTAACCCTGCCATCATGTCACCTGGGAAAGACACCAGCAGTGAACTTTGAGAGATGTCCAGGGATGTTAACAGTTGCTTTTAGCATTATGAACAATTGCTTTTAATTATTTTAGGGCTGGCTTTGTTTGCAATAAAAATCCATTAACTCTCCACAAATGAGCCACCTGAAGCGGCCAAATCTTGACAACTGACAGCCAAATGTGATGCAGAAATGCCACCTTCCCTATAGTTTAAATTAAACTAGATACCTATTTTTTTCTTAGTACATATTGTACTGAGTTTTGGATCAGTGAGGTATTTGTCCTGTACAGTTAGAAATGCAAAAAACAGCATACTGCTTTTTATTTTAAGGATCTTCTATTCACAGGAATTACTTCATTCCAAGCATCTTCAGTGCTTTCTAATTCATGGCCTCTTAACCTGGACTTTGCAACTCTGTCTACCATATAATTTAATCACGGTCTACAATAAACTTTCCAACTTGACCTCCAATTCTCTTCATTTGGAAGTCTTGGAGTAGTAATCTTAATATACCAGGAAGTTCCCACATTTGCTAGACTTGCTCTAAAAATGCTACTATATGTTTTGCCAAGCACCAGTATTTTGATGTAGCACTGGGGGTGGCCTTCATTACATTCCCTGACCAAAGATCAGTAGTAACCGAGAATAAAACTCCTATCTGATTCTGCCTGGAGACCATTCTATGCTTAGCTTTTTATCGATACATGTCACTGTGTTCTATAATGTAGCCACATTTCTTTTCACCTGAATTATATAATTATTTCATTTTTTCCCTTTCTTTTTCACACTTTTTTAGTTTATATATGATGAGAAAATTGTATGGTAAGTAGTTTTTATTTTATTTATTCATGTCGTTTGATTAAGGGAAGTAAACTTGGACATGCAGAGAAAATCTGCCCTTGGGGTTGGATGGAATAATTTTTTGTAAAACTTCCAGCACATCCTCCAACTTGGATTCTTTCTGTAATTAGGATAGAAAAATGGGGAGCTATTCTGTTCTTCCTGTTACAGGTAGAGACCAATAGTTGTGGACCAGTTTTATTGATGTGTCAGTAAAGCAAGAGGTTTTTGGATCTGGAAATCTCATAGCTATTTCTAATGGTTTCCTGGCACACTTTGCTTCGTTCCCCTCATCAGTGATGGAAAACTATCAGCAGAGTTTTCAAGGATCTAGTGTCCTTCTAAAATGTGGGGGCTTTTATGTTGTTAGCAAACCTTTATTTCAAATGATTTATTTATTTCACATTTTGCGGACTCTCAGCCAATTTCCCAGCTAAGGAAAGATAGCCCCTAAGTATCTTTAGGTGATGTGGTTCTTTGTGGTTTCCAGAATAGAAATAGTTTTGTGTAGTGAGGGTGGGGGGGAGACAGGTTGCACAGGTAGAAGGTAGGGACTGATTGGATTTACAAACACTATGAAGCATTAAGAGAAAAACAAATTGCAACTGGCTGCAGGAAGGAGTGTAGAAAGAAGTGCAAAGAACAGATAGATATAATAACTTATTTGGTTTAATATATGAAGTGCTAGAAGTGGGGGGAAAGTGCTTATGAGAGTTCTACTGATATATTCCACAAAAATATGTAACACTACTACAAACGGCAGTAGCCATATACTAATTTCCTTCCTTTTATTTATTTGAGGTGGGAAAGCCTTATACTCATCATTATGTATTTCTTCTATATACTTATCATGAAGTAAGTACTCTTAACTTCTCCTCTGCGCTTTAAATATGTGTGGCTAATAGGCATATGCGCTTGCAATGTACTTTGCTAGATAACTCAGAATAGCTCACTTTCCTTGCTTTGTTGCTGTTAATTTCCCCAACTAGTAGTGGATGTTCTGCTTAAATGTATATTGTCTGCAATAACTTGAGGCTCATTCTTATGGGATCAACATTTGGGCTATTGAAATTGAAGATGAACGAGAACATTCGGTCTTTATGATAGCTTTTCACTGCCTAGTGCCCTCCAGTGTGTTGGAAGCCACTTCCATTATCGCTAGCCAACACAGCCTTTGGCAGTAGAGGTTGAGGTAATGGGTACTGAAGTCCAATGTTGCATTATAAGAGCAAAGAGTATGGAATGCCTCCAAGAGAGGTAATTTTCCAAGGAAACTAAGGAAGCGGCTGTATATCAGAAATATTCTGCTTGTTTCTTCACATTCAAAATAGCCCATTTGAAAAAGCATTGTAAGCAGCCAAGGTAAGTAATTGGGGTGCGGGGTGGGGAAGATTGCACAAAGAAAGCTTTAATTCAAAATGAAGCATGCTTGCATTTATGGATTTGGCTTTGGAGAATTTGAATTAATTTTTATATTGGCTATTCATCAGCTACCCTTGCAAGAAATAAAGGCTTTTCTTTTGTATTTGTATTTGCAATGCTATAGAAATAATCAACATAATTATTTTACAGCAGTGTCATAAATCATTATATCCAAATTAGAAAACATTTCAGAGGGGGGCATAGAAATAGTTCAAAAGCCTTTTTTTTCCTGTGATACATGGTTACTGGGATCATGCAACCAGAGTTAGAGGTAACACTGTAAAGATATGTTGGGTTCAATAATAATTGCCTCTTCTGAAGGACTCGTGAATCAGGCCTCCCTCTGCTGCATATCCATCAGAGCAACATAGATTTTGAAAACACAATATAGGTAGTCCTTGACTTACCACCACAAATGGGATCAACACTTCCATTGTTAAGCAAGGCAATTTTTAAGTGAGCCATGCCCTATTTTATGATCTTTTTTTTGTCATGGTAAATATATCACCACATTAAGTGAAGCAAGCAGTCATTAAGCAAATCTAGCTTCCCTCATTGACTTGGCTTATTGGAAACATGTTGCAACATTTTAGTTTCTATATATAATCTAAATATGACAATCCCATTGCCTGGCTCATAGATTTCGGTAATATTCCCATGTCTTGTATAATCCGAATGAAAATATAAGCACATTTGCTCTTAGTGGGAGAGAAATAAATATAACTTTAATACAGGTAGTCCTCAACTTATGACCACAAGAGAGCCCAAAATTTATGTTGTTAAGTGAGAAATTTGTTTAAGTGGGTTTTGCTCTATATTATGACTTTTCTTGCCACGCTTATGAAGTGAATCACTTCAACTGATCAATTTGTAACATGGATGTTAAGTGAACCTGGATTCCCCATTGACTTTGCTTGTGAGAAGTTCACAAAAGAGGATCACACAACCCCAGGACACTGCAGCCGTCATAAATATGAATCAGTTGCCAAGCATCTGGATTTTGATCACATGATTGTGGGGATGCTGGAGAGGTTGTAACTGTGAAAAATGGTCCTAGGTCACATTTCTCAGTCCCTTTGTAACAGATGAACTGTTGTAAATCAAGGACTACCCATGTATGCATTGAAACTAGCAGGTGTCAGGTTCCAACTAATGCATCCATCACAAACTGAACTTTGAGACATTCTGATTTCTCAAAGTACAAATTTATTTGGACCCACCATATTAGCACTAACTGGTGAAAAACCAGTACTAAAGTTCCCGGGTTTTTCACCCCAATATAAGTTTCAGTTTTCCCAAGTTTCCAAAACAGCCAGTTACAATATCCAACCAGGATGCTGATTGCTTGGCAACTTGTCTCCTCCTCCAGCTAACAAGCCTTTGAAATGTGCATGGCTCATTGGTTAGTTTTGCTGTGGTTACTGAAAACTCCATCCTCCAACAGCTTAAAGCTGTGTCAGACTGAATTAATGTTACAACACCCCAGGATACAAACAATCTTATGCCCATTGAAAATTCAGGATTGACAGCAGTGTCTAGCAAGGCTGCATTTTGGCCAGATCATGAAGGGCCTAATTATAATGTAATCATCAGCCAGTTATGCTCAAATTGGATGGCACTTGATAAACTCATGTCTCACAATCCAACTTGCTCTTAATGGTTGTGAGCAACAGAAACAGAAGAGAAAAGAGCCGGAGCTATGAGCTGTTCTTTGAAACCTTAGCATTTTTCTCTTTATACTTCTAGATTCAACATGAAGATGCAGAAATTCTTTACTATCAAAAGTATGAATGTTGGTAATGGCAACACTGTGAACAGTGAACTGGAAGATGGTAATAAACACTATGACATTAGTCATGATGATCCATCCATCCCATTGCTACGGAAAGGTAAGGCTAAGCAGACATGAGCTGAGCAGAAGATCACTTGATAGCAAGTGATTCAAACTCTGATGGCAGACTTCCACAATCTTAAGATAAAATATTATTTATGTTTAATAAATGGGTCCTTGTTTTACCCACCTTGGAAACATGGAAGGCTGAGTCAACTTTAAGCCTGTTGAGATTCTATTTGCCAAAATGTAGGCAGCTGGCAATCATCAGAAGTAATACTGTACTCTAACCATTGCGCCACCATGGCTCATAATAGGGCCTATCATATCTGTGTGATACCCTTCTTGAGATGAATCTTAAGGTTGGATTACTCAAGAGGATCCTTTAGCAATGCTCAGGATTTTGCAGGAGATTCTAAGAAGGTGAGAGTTTTTAAATAATTTAAAGAAGTATTTCTTCTAGTATTAGAGTTAATGTTAGAATGAGGATCTTCAGGATCATCATGATCATGCTGGGTGAAAGATAGAATTGGTAATTGAGAATCACGTTATTTCCAAAGGAGAAGACTTCTTAATGAAACTGCCACCTCAAAATATAGGTGAGAAACCTGGATGTAGGATATATAGAGTATAGATGGATGTGCTTCCCCTTTTGCCCTGGACGTCTGACTTTCACATTGAAAAACATCACTTTTTGTATCAAACAGGGTGGATTTGATTAAATCAAGTTGATTTAAATCATGATTTGAATCATGATTTGAATCATGATTTGAATCATGATTTGAATCACGATTTGAATCACGATTTGAATCACGATTTAAATCACGATTTGAATCATGATTTAAATCATGATTTAAATCATTTAAATCACTAGTAAAAAGGCTTGATTTAAATCAACTTGATTTAAATCATAATTTTAAAAGAGCAGTTGTCATCTCTGTCCCACAGTGGCTACCCTTGTGACCCGCTGTTGACTCACCGACAGTCCCATTCACTTCAATGAGACAGCTGGTGATGTGGCAATGATACAACAAGGTTAGGGACGTAGCAGGCAGCAGGTGAATGGATGCCTGCTAACAGGCACTGCCATGATAGATCTGAAATGACAAGTGCTGTTTAATATTATGATTTATCTCATGGTTACTGTGAAACTGTGTGAATGCATCAATACAGTGCAAGTTATCTCAGCTTGCAGAGCTTGGATTCATTGAATGAGTTGGTCAAAAATGTAAATATTGCAGAATATACAGCCTCATGCTACATAACTAAGCTCCATTTCATGCTGAATAAACTAAATTATTAATAAATCTTAAATAGAAAACTATCTTTAGATAGATTTTTATTCCAAAAGCATTTTATCAAAATAAATTTGATAAAAATAAAAAAAATGATTTTTTTAAAAAAGCATCAATTTTTATCTACCCTGGTATTAAATAATTAAATTCTTAACCATTTAGGAAAGGAATGGTTCTTCTGCTCCCACTTTTCTTTAAACTAATATTAAATGGAAGAATGAACATTGGTTCTTCTTAATAATTCTAAAAGATCTATCTGCTTTCTTCTGAAACTGAAAATAAGATCGTTCTCTTACATACGATAACCATCATGAGATTTGCAAGCAATAAAAGTACTAAAAGAAAAATCTGCTTTTTACTTTTTATCACTATGCATTTGTCTTGCCTTGTTGCTTTCCTTGCAAGGGGGAATATTCTAACCACTGCAAAACAAATGCTTGTTATCCATAGAGTGTGCTATAATACGTATCTTGAAAGGGCATTGCATATCTGTAACCAAAATGAAGGTCTTTATGTTCATAAAAAATAAAACACACATCTATATTTGTGCCATTCAAGAGCTGAGAGATGCCTTCTTTCTGTTAACTGAAACATGCCATGGATTGATAAACTGCTATGGCTGTAGCCTTTTCTATAGCTTTTTTTTAACTTTTAGATCAGCCATCAGCTAAACCAGACTTCTAAAGCTTTCAGCTCTGAGGGTTGCTCCCAGCAAGGATGCCTAGGATATCTGTTGATATCTTCCAGAGTCAGCAAAGCTCAGATCTCATCCTAACCTTCTCCATTGTTTGAGTTCAGAGACTGATTATCGCCTGCAAAAGAGGCACTTGCTCTCTGCCGACTACATTCCATGTTCTGATAGCAGGAATTCTATTACTTGAGGGTACAGATAAAAGGATGGTTTTCAGACTGCTATCTTGAAGCTTGTAAGTTTATTGCTTTCAAGAGCTACAAGGAGCAAAACATTAGGGAAAAAAACCTTCTGGTACAAGGTTTTCATATACACAAAGCTCTTCAGCCAGTGGAAAATCCAATTTCAGGCAAGTCTTCCATGTAGGAAGAGAAGACTTGTATTTTTGCAAGTAATGTTTGTGCTTTTAGAATAACAGCACAGTGCCTCCGTTGTTGTTGTAAAAATTGTTTATGTGCTCTGGCCCAGTCAGTAGAAACTCAGAATGATGAAATACATGAGCAGACTTGTATTGAATCCAGATCAAATGCCTCAAGTATATGTCCACATTCCAGAGGACCAGCCTCTTAGGGTTTTTTTGTTTTGTTTTATGACCAAAAAAAATTGGTACCTTAACCTAACAAACAACAAATATTTCATAATACAATACAATAGCAGAGTTGGAAGGGACCTTGGAGGTCTTCTAGTCCAACCCCCTGCCTAGGCAGGAAACTTTATACCGTTTCAGAAAAATGGCTATCCAACATCTTCTTAAAAACTTCCAGTGTTGGAGTATTCACAACTTCTGGAGGCAAGCTGTTTCTCTGATTAATTGTTCTAACTGTCAGGAAATTTCTCCTCAGTTCTAAGTTGCTTCTCTCTTTGATTAGTTTCCACCCATTGCTTCTTGTTCTACACTCAGGTGCCTTGGAGAATTGTTTGACTCCCTCTTCTTTGTGGCAGCTCCTCAGAAATTGGAACACTGTTATCATGTCTCCCCTAGTCCTTCTTTTGGGGCAAACTAGACATACCCAGTTCCTGCAACTGTTCCTCATATGTTTTAGTCTCCAGGCCCTTAATCATCTTTGTTGCTCATTTCTGCACTTTTTCCAAAGTCTCAACAACATTTTTTTGATAAGGTGACCAAAACTGGGTGCAGTATTCCACGTGTGGTCTTAC